AGTAGAGGAAGAGCTGAACAAGCTCAAAACTTGGGAAGCCAGTTCCACATCCACATCAAACTCAATCGGCACTGGCTTGTCCTTGTTATCAGATTTGCATATTTGCTTGGAAGATATTCTCAACATGGCTTCAACCCAGAAGTTGATTTCTAACCATCAGGGTGAGAAATGCATAGAAGAGCTTCTGGATGGTTCAGTGAGAATTTTGGACATCTGTGACATCACAAGGGACACCTTGTTACAGATTAAAGAAAATGTTCAAGCCCTTCATTCTGCTCTCAGAAGGAGAAAGGGAGATTTAAGCATTGAAAGAATTGTAGCCGAATATAATTTCTTCTCAAAGAAGATGAAGAAGAATGCAAAGAAGTTGATGACAACTTTAAAGCAGATGGAAAACAAATTTGGAGTATCCCCAGTCTTGGATGAAGACCAACAACTTGTTTCTTTGGTTAGAGTGGTTAGGGAAGTAATTGCTATGAACATGTCTATCTTGCAGTCCCTGCTAGCTTTCTTGGCCCTGCCTGCTTCAAAGTCAAAGGCAACCAAATGGTTATTGGTAGCAAAATTAATGCACAAGGGAGTGATAACATGTGAAGAGAACACAAAAAGTTCCAACGAGTTGATATGTGTGGAAGCATCTTTAAGCAGCCTTGTAAGTGAAGGTACCAATGTAGCAACGATGCAGACTGCACATGAAAGATTGGAGGCTTTGGAGAATGGAATTGAAATCATAGAAAATGGTTTGGAGAGCGTATTCAGGCGCATGGTTAGAACAAGAGCCTGTCTTTTGAACATCATGACTCAATAGAGTTTAGACAGTGTTGAATCTTGATTTTCTCTCCAAATCCTCCAAAGTATCCAAGTTTTAGGGATCAGTTGAGGGTTGAAAAGTTTTGCCCCATCAATTTGTACATGTATACAATTCAAAAGTCTAACGATGAAATACAACTGAATGTTTATACTCTATGTTTCGATATATTTTTTCTTCAGGTCACCTTTTTCCTTGAGAGAATTAATATTGCTTTACACTTATCATGTTTCTGTGACTAAGCATATAATTTACTTGTTAGAGAATGTTGGGTAAGTCAACGTCCTTATCAGTTAAAAGTTCATATTTATAGTTATCTTTTAAAAGCTACAAAACAGCCAAACTCACACCATACATTGACAAGTAATTACATATTTATCAGAATAATGAAAATGTATTGTTTGGATTCAACTGCATAAAAATATGCTTATTTCTATTGAGCTGCTGTATCAAGCAGAGGATAGTGGCTGCAGATGACAAGATAAGTAAAATGGTTATAAAAGAGAAAACTTTTGTATTATTCAAAAGAAAAAAGAGAATAAAAAGTAAGAAAAGAAAAAATAACAAATTTATGTGTGTCAAAGTATTAATTTTCATATATTATATCCAATTCTAATAAACTGGGAAGTTAGTTAATCCACGGAGTACAAAAAATAACAAAAGAGAGTGGTGAGATTGAAGATTATTTTCTTTCAGAGAGGAGATCTTTTACTCAAACAAAGATGCCAAAATTTTCTGCAATAGTCACATACTAAACAAAAATGATGTGTGCATACAAAACCTTTAACAATAACATCAACCCATTGAAACTGAGACGGTGGATACTCGTCCTTTAACGTGTACTACAATACAAAATTCTTCATTGGTTTAAAACATAATGAAAAGGAGTTGGTAAAATCAAAAAGGGAGACACAAGGGTTACAAGTCACTCGTGCACACACCAAATAACTCATCTTTTTGTTCTCGAAATCTGTACTCAATTAAAAAATAACTCATTGTTGTCTATTTGTCAATGACAACCAGATTTGGATCTCAAAGATCCAAAAGCCATTTTTAACACTATTTTGCAGTTATAGCTTCTTATCATTGAGACAAGCCAGGTAATGTATATCCTTGAAGCTGAAACAACACATTTTATAATTTAAAGCGAAGAGGCAATGTGGCAGCAAAGGAGGCAAATTAATTGATGACTAATGAAGTTTTCTGATTGCCAGCACTTGGAGAACATGCCAGTTATGCACAACCAATGTGGCTTGTATTATATCACAAATAATAGTGCACAATGTTTGGCAGAGATGTGACAAACTCACCAGATTCTTAGGAAACACATGCTGCTACCACATGTTCACATTGATCATGAGAGGTTAACTGTGCTGCCTGTTTTCTTGACCGATAGGAATCAATCATGAATTTCTCCTATATATATAGAGTTAAGCACTTGGTGAGAGCACAAAAACATTGAGCTTCTTTCGAAAAAGAACATAAACAAAAAGAGTAGCCATGGCAAACAAGTTCCATGTTCGCTCTAACAGTTTTCCTTCTGGATCTCATCCTAACATCAGTAGAGTAGAGGAAGAGCTGAACAAGCTCAAAACTTGGGAAGCCACTAAAACATCCACATCAAACTCAATTGGCACTGGCTTGTCCTTGTTATCAGATTTGCTTATTTGCTTGGAAAATATTCTCAACATGGCTTCAACCCAAAAGCTGATTTCTAATCATCAAGGTGAGAAATGCATGGAAGAGATAATGGATGGTTCAATGAGAATTTTGGATATCTGTGGCATCACAAGAGACACCATGTTACAGATGAAGGAAAATGTTCTAGCCCTTCATTCTGCTCTTAGAAGGAGAAAGGGGGATTCAAGCATTGAAAGAATTGTAGCCGAATATAATTTATTCTCTAAGAAGATGAAGAAGAATGCCAAGAAGTTGATGACATCTTTGAAGCAGATGGAGAGCAAATTTGGAGTATCCCCAGTCTTGGATCACGATCAACAACTTGTTTCTTTGGTTAGAGTGATCAGGGAAGTCATTGTAATGAACATATCTGTCTTCCAATCCCTGTTAACTTTCTTGGCCGTGCCTGCTTCAAAGTCAAAGGCAACCAAATGGGTATTGGTAGCAAAATTAATGCACAAGGGATTGACAGCATGTGAAGAGAAGCAGAAGAATTTGAACGAATTGCAGTGTGTGGAAGAGTCTTTAAGCAACCTTCTGAGTGAAGGTAGCAATGTTGGAAAGATGGAAGCTGCAAATGAAAGATTTGAAGCTTTGGAGAATGGAATTGAAAGCATAGAAAATGGTTTGGAGAGCGTATTTAGGCGCATGGTTAGAACAAGAGCCTGCCTTTTGAACATCATGACTCAATAGAAACTACACACTATTCAGTCATCATTTTCTCTCCAAATTTTATGGATCCGTTGAGGATTGAAAATTTTTGTCTTGTACATGTACACAACTCAATAGTTACACTATCAATCAAATACAACGAAATGTTTATACTCTATATTTCGATTTTTTTTTTTTTGCAGTCTGGTTTTTCCTAATTCCTTTACATTGATATTGTTTTTATGACTGAACATTATAATTTACTTGTTCGAGAATACTGGATAAAAAATAGCAGTAACATCATTTTATACAATATCCAAAGGACAAAAAAGCATTTTAAAATTTTCTGGTCTAGCAATGATTTCAAGGGATGTATGAATGTATGGAATTCAGGCTAATAAACTTCAATGTTTCAAATGAAAATCCCAGAAAGAAGTGATTTATGTACGTCTATTTTCAAATATATAGATTTTTGTCGAAGATTATCGAGCAAAATTCCATAATTTAATCAATTAAACAGAAAAAAATTCTCAAAAATCAAGATAGAAAAAGTGGAATATTCAACTACATATTCACCTTTTCCTTTGAAGATGGATTCAAGGAGCATTTCTATCTTGCAGAATTAACCTCAATTAGTCTACAATGCACTGATGGCATATAACTAATACCAGAAAACATATTTTTTTGTCTCCTGCTTGCTAGTTTTACAAAGTTTGTTCTTAGGAACAATGTTTCACATGATAATCATAAGAAATAATACTCCTACCTACAACTGAGCTAACACCTCAAGAATTAAGAAATAATGTTCCCTACAAAGAAAAAGCCGGTGACAAAGTACATGAACATAAAAAATTAAGAATCCTGTAGAATAAAGTTAGTAAGTATCTTTATCAATTACAAACCATATTTATAGTAGTTTGTTAAAAAGCTACAAAACAGCCAAGCTCATATCATACCTTGACAAATAGTTGAATGGTTATCAGAACAATGAAAATGTGACAACTTCTGAAGACTCAAATGGATAAACATATGTTTCTTTTCAACTTAGCTACTTTATCAAGCAGGGGATACAAACTGAAGATCAGAATAGTTTCTTTGAACTGATCTACGGTAATAAACAAGGGTGATATCAGCACTACAATACATAACATGATAAAATATCATGTTAAAGAAAAAAGACACTGCACAAATACATCTCTATTCAACAATATTCTCCAAAATTCTAACCGCAACTTTTAAATAAAGGAATTGATGAAATTGAAGATTTAAAAATTCTCTATTTAGTTTATCATATTTTCAGTTCACTGCTTTAAAATTTTACACCTTTTCAAACACTCTTGTCTTCAGAAAAAGGATTTTCAAGTATAAATTATACAACAAGGTCAATAATTCCAAATCAATTTTGTTATGGAGTAATGAAAGAGTTGGTAACACAACAAGGGAGACATAAGGGTTGCAAGCCACTCGTGCTCACACCAGATAATCCAATATTTTGTTCTCGAAATCTGTAATCAAAATTTTATACAACCAAAATCATAAACAACTCGAAATTGTTGTCCATGTGTGATATCCCTCGAGATCCGAATCTCATCTACCAAAAGCCATTTATTACACCATTTTGCAGTTTTAGCTTCTTATCCTTGAGACAAGCCAGGTAATGAATACTGAAACAGCATTTTTATAATTTGAAGTCAAGATGCAATGCGGCACAAAAGGAGGCAAACTGGTTGATGACTAATGAGGTTTTCCGATTGCCAACACTAGGAGAACATGCCAGTTATGCACACCAAACGAATTTCATTATCAACTTGGTCTGTATTATATCACAAATAATAGTGCACAATGTTTGGCAGAGATGTGGCAAACTCACCAAATTAGTAGGAAAACACATGCAGGTACCACATGCTCACATTGATTATCAAAGGTTAATCATGAATTGCATTATACCTATATATATAGAGTTAAGTGCTTGGTGAAAGCACAAAAACATCGAGCTTCCTTTGAGAAAAAGAAAAACAGAAAAAGAGTTACCATGGCAAACAAGTTCCATGTTCGCTCAAACAGTTTCCCTACTGGATCTCATCCTAGCATCAGTAGAATAGAGGAAGAGCTGAACAAGCTAAAAACTTGGGAAGCCAGTTCCACATCCACATCAAACTCAATAGGCACTGGCTTGTCCTTGTTATCAGATTTGCATATTTTCTTGGAAGATATTCTCAACATGGCTTCAACCCAGAAGCTGATTTCTAACCATCAGGGTGAGAAATGCATAGAAGAGCTTCTAGATGGTTCAGTGAGAATTTTGGACATCTGTGACATCACAAGGGACACCTTGTTACAGATTAAAGAAAATGTTGAATCCCTTCATTCTGCTCTCAGAAGGAGAAAGGGGGATTCGAGCATTGAAAGAATTGTAG